GGTTTTGGGTTGTTCCCCTTACACATCTCTCAAGAAGCTTGGAGTCACTGAGAGTAAGAAATGTTGGTTTTAACAGTTCCAAAAACACCACTGGCAAACAGTCATCCCCTTTGTATGTTTTTGTGCCTGTTGCCTGGTCCTGTTGCCACTTGCACCATGAGTTCTCTCCCACTGGACAGAATCTATGTTGCTTTGTAGGATTGTCTGATTTGACACTGTGATGTAGTATGGCAACAATGTTCTTTTTGATTGCATACACAGCAACATCTACTTCCCTTTCTGAGGGATTTGCCTTTGAGAGAGTGTTTTGACAGATAGCCAAGCCATAATACTTTTGAAGTTGTTTTATCTTGCCTTCAGTCAGCCAGCCATGACCACCAATGGGCTTTCCATCCTCAAGTTTTCCTTCTGTTCGAGATTTTAGGTTCAGGAGGTGTTTTCCCATCCTCTTTTGGACATGGCCTACACAGTCAAGCTTTACAACTTTGCAATCACTGCTGTACAAATTCTCAACAGCATTGAACGCTTTACTGTCCCCATCTGATATCATCCATTTGTACCGAATGTTATGCAGCTCTATGGATCTCTTCCACAGAATTTCAGCTCCCTCAGCTTCCATTGCTGGTGAACTCCCTTTAAAATTTATATCGCATTCCCCGGATGCCAAATGTTCTCTTCTCCACTCTTCAAATCGCTCATTGTCGTCTTCACACTGACTTTTCTTCAATGCACACTTTTGACATGCTTTTGACAAAACATGGTAATCTAGTACCTCACCTGTGTCCACTGAAACCACAAAAACCACACCTGTCAATGAGGTGAAGCCCCTTTTGGCCCACGTGCCATCAAAACTTACTGCCGCATCTATAACATTTCCAGTATCAGACTCTCCATTCTCCTCCGTGATAAGCTTTCGAAGCTTCTGGCCTGCACTCAAGAGTTCTTCTTTGGTCACACTTTCTAAGACATCTAAAATAGTCTCCACCTGCTTGTAATAGGCCCTCTTAGACAGACATGGCATGTTCATAATACTGCAGAATGATGCAAGTCCTTCGTAACCACAACCAGTCTCAATTGAGTGGTAGACAGCCCTTCTGTTTACGTCAAATGACTTTCCTCTTTTGGAGATGTTGACTGAGGTGTGTAATGTGGTGTCTTCATCACAACCATCACAGCATATGGAAAGATCAGACATCAGCCCTGCACGCCTACCAGTGTTCTCTTCAATAGTCAGATTCCCTAAAACCAATTATAGTGTATTTGAAAAACAGATACATTCTTCAAAAATGTAAAAGCAACCAAAAATTTTATTGTCATATACCCCCTATACCCACTGCTCCCACAATACTAATGCACAATAATTTTTAAAATATATAAAATTTGCTTACATACATTTATATTTATAATTTCAATTTCAAACACATTTGGTTAAATAAACTGTCCTACAAGTTTCATGTTGCTTTACTCACCTTCCTCGCATCTGTGCACATTGGAAAGGACTGAAGATAAGTTCTTCAAATGGACCAGTCTGTAACCATCCTCTGCCTCCACTAATTTAGTTTTCTTAGTTTCTGTTTCGCTTTCTGAGCTTTCAGAACTGTCATCTTCGGAGTTGTACAGCTTCATCTTCTTTCTAGATGCACTCTCCGGTTGATCAAGCTCCGTGTCTGAGCCTTCCATGTCACTTGTTTCCAATAACTCCTCGTGACTCTCGTGGGGCATCTCCGGTTTTGAGCGAGCAATTTCATCCTCTTCCAACACTGGTTTTTCCACCGATTTTGCGTACCAAGGAACCCCACTAAACCCTTTTCCTTTCCGTGTTTTTCTGAAACGACTTCTATGCCTTTTCCCAGCCATATTCAACCAAAAATATTCCTATATGTCTATACTCCGACCTCCAATGCTCCCACAGCTAAAATTCTATACCATAATGCAATTGGCAATACCCCACTTCATGTAAGAGGTAACAGAGAATGCCCTATTTGACAGTGGTTCGATTTTCGCGCTTTCCTGGGGATTCAAGAGGTAGTAAACAAGAGAAAAACAAAAGTTATCATTCCCGTTGC